ATCAATTTTTATGCAATTCTAAAATTTATTTATAAGGAATCATTTTTAATTTTTGTCAATGAATTTGCATAAATTGCTGTTTAAAAAAAAAAAAAAAACCTAAGGCAACGATTTTTAAACGTTGCCGTAGGTCTACGGCAACACCTTGATTTGCAACACACGTCCAAACGTTGTAAAAGGTCTTTGGCAGCATTTTTTGAACGTTGTCGTAGGCTATTTTTGTTGTAGTGTTGATAGTCGATATGGTTAAAAAAAATAGTATTTGCCTCACAAGGAGGTCCTATTATTCTCGCACAAATCGAGAATGAATATGGTAATGTTATTTCGTCATATGGAGATGCTGGAAAAGCATACCTTAATTGGTGTGCAAGCATTGCCGAGTCACCCGATAGTGGAGTTCCATGGATTATGTGCCAAGAGAGTGACTCTCCCGAACCAATGGTATTAATTATGTACTTCAATTTTTCGATGTTTTTCTATATATTTCTTTAATTAAACTAATATTGTAATTTGTTGCAGTTGAACACATGCAATGGATATTATTGTGATCAATTCACTCCAAACAATCCAAACACCCCAAAAATTTGGACTGAAAATTGGACTGGATGGTAAGGCTTAATCTTTTTCTGATTATATTAATAAACTTTGAGTAAAGTAAATTAATAATATATTTAAAATTTAGGTTTAAGAATTGGGGAGGTTTAGATCCTCATAGAACAGCTGAAGATGTTGCCTTCTCTGTTGCTCGATTTTATCAGAAGGGTGGCGCGGTACAGAATTATTACATGGTCAGTGTTAAGATCAAAAGTTACACTTGTTCTTTTTTTCGAGCTAATTGGATATTTTAATTATAATTGAAATTCAGTACCACGGTGGAACAAACTTTGGAAGAACAGCTGGTGGCCCTTACATTACCACAACTTACGATTACGATGCACCCCTCAATGAATACGGTAGTCTGAATCAACCAAAATTTATACACTCGATAACACATCGAGCTGTTTCTTTGGCAATGCAAATGAGACAAGTGATGCTACTACAAATTATCAAGGAGTCGAGTACAATGTACCTGCATGGTCCGTCAGTATTATTCCCGACTGTAAGACAGAAATTTACAACATGGATAGGCTAAACACTTGGACTAATTTGATGGTGAAGAAGCCGAATGAGGCTGAGGACGAACCTGCCTCTTTGAAATGGAGTTGGAGACCCGAGATTAATCTCGAACAAACTATTGTTCGAGGAAAGGGACAAATTTCTACAAACATGATTGTGGATCAAAAGGTTGCAAATGATGTTAGTGACTATTTGTGGTACATGACCAGGTTAGTACATAGTAATTAAGTTTTTTACAATTTTCTTCAAGATATTTTTTTTTTTAGAATTCTTACATATAATTTCAAAATACAGCCTTAACCTCGACAAGGATGATCCTATCTGGACTGAAGATATGAGCATTCGCATCAATGCAACTGGACATATTTTGCACGTTTATATCAATAGCGACTATCTTGGTAATAACTCTCATTATTGTATGCAAGCAGTCCAGCTTGAATTTTGTAATTGTAATCGATTCATGAAAAAATTATATTTGTTGGCAGATTCACAGTGGGCAACATATGATGTAACCAACTATGTATTTGAGAAGAAGGTTAGATTGCACCCGGGAAAGAATCAAATAACTTTACTTAGTGCAACCATTGGCTTTCAGAACTATGGTCCGAAGTTTGATGTTGTACAAGCTGGAATATCTGGACCAGTCGAGATCATTGGTAGGAAAGGTGATGAGACAATCATAAAAGACCTGTCATCACATAAGTGGTCGTACAAGGCTGGATTGCACGGCTTGGATAACAAAATCTACAGTTCAGATTCTAAATTTGCTGCTCCGTGGAATACAGAAGATCTTCCTGTTAATAGGATGTTGACATGGTACAAGGTAAATCAATCGAGTATTATATTCTTTTTAAGAAACTTTATGCAAACATCAATGATACATTTTTGTTTTAATTTCAATGTCAGACTACATTCAAGGCTCCTTTAGGAGAAGATCCAATTGCTTTAGATATGCAAGGTTTAGGCAAAGGTGTCGCTGGGGTGAATGGAAATAGTATCGGTCGCTACTGGCCGAGTTATATGGCAAAAGATGACGGATGTTCAACTGATGCCTGTGATTATGGCGGTTCATATTACAGCAGTAAATGTGACACAAACTGTGGTCAACCTACTCAAAGATGGTTAAATCTATCACAATCTTTGTTCTTAATAACTTTTGCAGAGAAATTAAAACAATATACTTAAAATAACTAACAAGACAACAATAATTTCAGGTACCATGTTCCCCGTTCCTTCATAAATGATGATGTTAATGAATTGGTGCTCTTCGAGGAATTTGAAGGAAACCCGACTCCTGTCAACTTCCAAACTATTAGAGTTGGAACAGCATGCGGCATTGCCTATGAGAACAAGGATATGGAATTATCGTGCCAGGGTCGTCCCATTTCTGCAATCAAATTTGCTAGCTTTGGCGACGTACAAGGAACTTGTGGGTCATACGACAAGGGCAGCTGCAGGGGCCAAAATGATGCACTATCAATAGTTCAAAATGCCTGTGTTGCGAAAGAATCGTGGACAGTTATAGCATCGGAAAGCACTTTTGGTGCGGCCAACTGCGCCGAAGGCATATCCAAGAAGCTTATTGTAGAAGCACTTTGTTAGGTTTTTATTCATTGTTACTCTCATTTGCTAGATAGAGGGATAGGTAGTAATTTATTAGTTTTTTTAATTTATAGCTTGTTAGGTGAGTGAATAATATTTATCTCATCCATGGATGTTATGGAAACATTTTTCTTCATAAGTTGTAATATTTAGAATTTTAATATTCTTCTTCACGTGCATGATCTTCTTACTTGCAAGTACAGTCGACGCTAAACTTGGTAGTGATTCGTCCATCGTCTCAAGAAGAGAAATTCCTCATCTGTTGGTGATAAGTGCAATTTGTGCATTTATTTGGATCAAATTTCTAAGTTTTTATGTCATCAAATCATTTATTTTTACTTAACT